AGGTAATGTCTAATTTAAGGACTATAATACAATACAGGTAATCTCTAATTTAAAGGCTGGAATAAAATACAGGTAATGTCTAATTTAAGGACTGTAATAAAATACAGGTAATCCCTAATTTAATGACTGTAGTAAAATACAGGTAATCTCTAATTTAAGGACTGTAGTAAAATGCAGGTAATCTCTAATTTAATGACCTCAATAGGGAATAAAATACAGGTAATCTCTAATTTAAGGACTGTAATAAAATACAGGTAAAGTCTCATTTAATGACTGGTGTAGACGTGCCCCGTTGGCCACGGAGAAGGGCCGCCTTACGGGGCCTTCTCCGCGGGCATCCCAAGATCCTGTTTTTCGCTAGCGGGACGCTCCGGGAGGCCGTAAACGGAGCCCGGGTCGGACCTAAAATGGTGGCTCGAGCTCCGTTTTCGTTGGCGGAGGGTTGCGGGAGACCGTTGTGGCCAAAAACGGAGCCCGGGGAGGACATAAAATGGCGGCTCAAGGTCCGTTTTCGTTGGCGGAGGGCCGCAGGAGGCCGTCGCGGCCGAAAACGGAGCCCGGGTAGGACATAAAATGGCGGCGCGAGCTCCGTTTTCGCTGGCGGAGGGCCGCAGGAGGCCGTCGCGGCCAAAAACGGAGCCCGGGTAGGACATAAAATGGTGGGTCGAGACTCCGTTTTTCCCCGCAGGAAGCTGTACCGGTCGGAAATGTTCCCTTTGACCATTTTCCTTGCCCCCCCCCATTGTTAAGCGAATCCCTGCAGTCCTTAAGTGAGTCATCTACTCGTCGAGCGGCTTTTACCTTCCCTCGTCGAGAGATCACGCCAAACCCCCGATGGGGCTGTGTGAATTGGGATACCCGGAATCGTAACGGATGGTATTTTTTGTGTGTAATCGTCGTCACGCCGAGCCCCACTTACCGACGGAGGGGAGGCTCTCGTCGCCAACCACGGGGCTCCCGATCGCCCCCCCCCATACCCCCGAAAACCGCCTCCCGCTTCTCTGCCTTTCCAGGTCGCGGCAAGTCCTTCCGTCTGAAGCTCCCGGCGCTCCTCGCCCTAGCCGGGAGCAAGCAGTCGCTCCCGCGTGGCGACCCGGATGAGACCGTCGTAGTGGTGGATCTGTCCAAGCCGAGCAGCGAGTCGGTGGCACTGGACGAGGTCGAGGCCTCGCTGCGGAGCTGCGAGGAAGAGGAGGAGGAAGGGGAGGAAGAGCGGCGGGGGGAGGAAGGGGGCGAGCAGGTCCCGCCGCTCACGCACTCCTCGCCGCGGAGGCCGAAAGCCGCGCTCTTCCCGCTCGAGGCGTCATTCTCCAACTGTAGCCTGAGCCGCTCGCGCGAGAGTTGCTGCAGCGTCCGACGGGCGTCCTCGGTGGACGACATCGAAGCCATGAAGGGCGACGGGGAGAAAGGATGGGCCCACAGCCGGCACGCCAGCGCAGGTGGGGGTTTCCCCTCCCCCCCAAACACCGCGGGGGGGTGGCGGGGTGGGGACTGTCGGCGTCACTCGGCCGGCCTGGGGTTGGGCTAGACGACCTCCGGGGGTTCCCTTTCCGGGTCTTCTCTTCCGGATGGGTTTCCTGTTTGATTGCAGGGGTTGGGCTGGATGACCTCCAGAGTTCCAGCGCTTCTATTCTGTAAGGTTCTCCTGTTTGACCAGGGGGTCGGGCTAGATGACCTCTGGGGGTTCCTCCCAGCTCTGTTCCTCTCAGGGCAGCAGGAGGGATAGTGTTGGAAGGGAGCCCGGAGGTCATCCAGTCCAACCCCCTCCTCAAGCAGCAATATCATAAAGTGATAGTCAGAAGGGACCTCGGAGGTCATCTAGTCCCACCCCCTGCTCAAACAGCCATATCATAGAGTAGTAGAGTCAGAAGGTACCCCGGAGGTCATCCAGTCCCACCCCCTCCTCAAGCAGCAATATCATAGAGTGATAGAGTCGGAAGGGATCCCGTTGGGTCATCTAGTCCAACCCCCCCCCCACTTGGCTGACCCGGGGCACCCCCTAGGCCTTTCAGAACAGCGAGAATGGGAAGGGTCCCTGGGAGGGCATCTAGTCCAACCCACCTCCTCGCCTGACAGGCCATTCAGAAGAGGCAGAGTGGGAAGGGACTGTGGGAGGGCATCTAGTCCAACCCCCTTGCCTGACAGGCCTTTCAGAATAGGGACAATTGGAAGGGACCCTGGGTGGTCGTGTAGTCCGACCCTCTTCCTAAGACAGGAGACCTCTAGGCCACCCAGAATAGCGACAATTGGAAGGGGAACCTGAGAGGGCATCTAGTCCAACCCGCTCTCGTTCAATCACACCTTGGGGTAAAACGAGCGGGGTTGTGTGTTTTGGGGGGGGCTTTTCTCATCCCAGGAGGGTCTGTCCACCCCGCCCGCAGCCCCCTGCTCAACTCCACCTCCGACTCGGATCTCATCCGCTACCGGGCCATCAGTAAGATCCCCCAGATCACCCTCAACTTCGTGGACTTCAAGGCCGAAGCCTTCGGGGCCTCGCCGGGCGGCGCCGGCGCCGGCGGCGAGAAAGAGATCATCGCCCCCACCAAGCGGAAAGACCGGACTCACAATGTGACCGAGAAGGTCACTCAGGTGAGACGAAAAGCTCGCGTTCCTGGGGTCGGGGGTGGGGGCTTTCGTGAGCGCGCCCGCGAGGTGGAGGGGTGGGTGGGTTGCGAGGCGCTCCCCCCCCCGCCTTTCTTTCCGGGGGTCCGCTTCGTCTTTTTGGGCGTTCTCCAGCCGGGGCGGGTCTCCGGGGGGTCATCTAGCCCAACCCGGCTGGCTTGAGCGGGACGGCTTGTACGTAAGGAGGGGAGGGAAGGGACCCGGGAGGTCATCTAGCCCAACCCCCCACTCAAACAGGACACCCGTCCATAATAATACAGTTGGGAAGGGACCCTAGAGGTCATCCAGGCCGACCCCCTGCTCAAGACAGACCCGTCCATAATAATAGAGTTGGAAAGGGACCCGAGAGGTCATCTAGCCTGACCCCTGCTCAAGACAGACCTGTCCATAATAGAGTTGGAAAGGGACCCGAGAGGACATCTAGCCCAACCCCCTGCTCCAAACAGGACACCCATACATAATAATACAGTTGGAAAGGGGCCCTAGAGGTCATCTAGCCCAACCCGGCTGGCTTGAGCGGGACGGTTTGTACGTAAGGAGAGGAGGGAAGGGGCCCTAGAGGTCATCTAGCCCAGCCCGGCTGGCTTGAGCGGGACGGCTCGTACGTAAGGAGAGGAGGGAAGGGACCCAGGAGGTCATCTAGCCCAACCCCCTGCTCAAGACAGACCCGTTCACCATAATACAGCTGGGAAGGGGTCCTAGAGGTCATGTAGCCCAACGCCCTGCTCAAAACAGGACACCCATACATAATAATACAGTTGGAAAGGGACCCTGGAGGTCATCTAGCCCAACCCCCTTGCTCAAGCAGGAGATCTTTACAAAGTCACAGACTATACAGAGTCGGAAGGGACCTCAGAGTTCATCTAGTCCAACCCCCTTTCTCGAGGGAGAGACCCTGACAGAACTAAGAGAACAACAAGAGATGGGAGGGACCTCAGAGTTCATCTAGTCCAACCCCCTTTCTCGAGGGAGAGACCCTGTCAGAATGAATAGAAGAACAAGAGATGGGAGGGACCTCGGAGGTCATCTAGTCCAACCCCCTTTCTCGAGGGAGAGACCGTGACAGAATTAAGAGAAGAACAAGGCTGGGAGTGATCTCAGAGATTATCTAGTCCAACCCCCTTTCTCAAGCAGGTGACTCTGATTGACTAACAAGAGATGGGAGGTACCCTTGGAGGACATCTAGTCCAACCCCCTTTCTCCTTTGTTGCCCATCCACCGGGCCATCCAAAGGGTAGGATCGAGATTGACACACTGGGGGGTCTCCGGCTGGCGCAAAGGGTTGGAGAGGATGACCTCCGAGGTCCTTCCCATCTCTTGTTATTCTGTCAAGAGTTCTCCCGCTCGGGAAAGAGGGGAGTGGGGTTGGACTAGATGACCTCCCACCTCCTTCCCAATGTTCTTCCTCCCTTTTTTCTTTCTCTCCTCGACTTGAATCCATCGATTCGTTGTCCTCACACACGCCCTGTGTCCGGGCCGTCCTCACCCCCCGCCTCGCGGGAGTCCTCACCCCCCTTGTGTTGCAGGAATCCTCGCCCCAACGCCCAACGTCCCGGGAGTCCTCACCCCCCTCCCCAAACACACCGTGGGAGTCCTCACCCCAACGTCCCGGGAGTCCTCACCCCTGTGTCCCG